CTGGGTCTATGGAAAGCCACTATTCTGAGAACAATTTATGTATTTTATTTTTCTTGCTGTGTTTCTGGCTTATTTTATAATTTACAGGTTGTTTTCTTTATCACTTCCTTCCTCCTATTTTTGTGAAGCACTTTTGTCCTTTTCTTTCTATTATCTATGAATTGACTGCTTAATTTATGTTTTGATTCTGTCTTGTTTAATAATGAATGCATTCGAGGCTATGGGTTTGTCTATGAGCATAGCCGTTTTAATTTTGGAACTACCACACAGGAGAAAGGAATCAATAATTATTGAACACATACCCTGTCAGAGGCTGCATTAAGTATTTCACATCCTTCCTCATTTGCAAAGTGGAAGGGCTCATCCTGCTCTGTAAGGTTTTTGGGAGCCTGCAGGGAATAAACAGCCTGGGAATACAGCATCCAGCACTCAGGGTGAGTTCAATGAATGGTGGCCCTCACCCTTCTTCATAGTTTGATTCTCTCAGCTGTCCTTACACTTTATAAACAGATTGAGGAAATTTAGCTATAGCAAAGAGCAGGAAATTGTTCAAGGTCTCCAGGTCACCTGGGGAGGAATATCAGGGTAAGATTCCATACTCAGTCTATCTGAAGGAACCCTCCAGGCACATTGTGACTGTGCAAGTCACAGGAGGGAAGCCCACAGGGCACAGCAGAAGAGCTGGGCAGTGGATCAAGGTAACAGCAGAATAGGCCATGTTCCTGGTCCGATCCTCCGTGGTATCCACCCTCCTTTGTTGTATGTGTATACGTGTGCACATGTGCATGTGGAGACCAGAGGATAACCTGGGCTAAGTTGTCATCCTTCCTTAGATGTTGTCCACCTTGGTTTTTTCTGTTTGTTTTTCTGAGAGAAGGTCTCTCACCTTTGTCTAGAATTTACTAGGTAGACTAGGTTAGCTGGCTAGTGAGTCCAGGGATCTACCTGTCTCTGCCTCCCCAGTGCTGGGATTACAAGTGCATGCCACTACACCTGGCTTTTAAATGTTGTGTTCTGGGGATCAAACCCAGGTCCCCATGCTTGCAAAGCAACCACTTAACTGACTAAGCTGACTCTCCAGCCCTCTACCTTCTTTTCAATTCCTGTGAATGCAAGATTACAACTGAATGCTTTCATTCATGATAGCAAACCTCCTTATAGACTGGCTACAAGGGGCAATTAATGGTTATCAAAGTGCCCCCAAACTGTTTTAAAACCAGTCCCACAGTCAGTGCACAGGGCCAAGACCCCTCAAGGAAGTTTTTTTCTTCTTATGAGAATTAGGGAGATTTCTGAGTACAGTCTGACCATGGTTGTAACAGACAGCCTCATTGGGGGAAGTATGTGCCTCTCCAACGGGGTACATTAGCTCTTGAGCTTCAGGAGGCTGGTAGGAAGGTGCCCTCACTTGAGATGATATATTTTTAGGGCATACCTTTGTTTGTCCTGACACAATGTACCCACCAGGAAACTCTGAAATGCATGAAGGACTGGCAGGTTGTACATGGTGTAGTACTCTGTGCTTTCCCAGCTGATGGGAAAAATGAATCCATGTCCACTGTGTGGCCCTGATATCTGAGGACTTATGTGTCAGTGTGGAAAGAAATGATAGTGAAACAATTACCAAATTATGCAAATGTATATAATAGACAAGAGCTGCATAGAACGGTTATACAGAGGATAATTCCATGACTCCTCAAAGAGAACAAATCTAGAGGGCTGGTGAGCCCTGGAGTAAGAGCTGTACCGTTAAAACATGGATCCCGTGTAGTATGTGGCTAGACTTGAATCTGGTGTTGATAATGCCCGAGCTGATTTCTGAGGCATGCCATTTCAAAAGAAAAGCTTTGCCTTGGAAAGCTGTAGTCCTCCCTGTATTTCTAAAAGTCTCATCTGACAAATGGATTCTATTCACTTTATTTGTTTATAACCTCCTAATAAAACACTGGCTTGTTGGGACTCGACAGGTTGACTATTTGATATAAGGATCCCTGTCCTTATTTATGTGGTCTCCTCACATGGCTTCCTTATGCATTTATTGCTTGTCTTGTCAGTTACATACACACCCCTTTGAGACCTGCTTTCCTGAGAGCAATAAAACCTGAAGAACAAAGGAAACTTTCTTAATTCATATTTTAAGCATCTGTTTAAGAATTAACCTCTATCTCTCAAAGATAAATGATGTTGTTGGTATCACACTGGGGCATAAAAGAATGAAAGAATCTCATGACTTTCTTTCTCTTTTGTAAGGATTTAACAAAGGGTCCCCCTTACTTCATCCTGGAAGGTGCGAGCAGATTTGACATCCAACAAGGAAGAGCAGGTAAGAACTCGACAGCTTCCCCAGCCTTTGGACTTGGCCTTCGCCTGGAGAATCACTGTCTTAAACAAAGTTAATAGAAGCTGACCTAGCTACCAGCCCATAATCTAGCTGCTAGGGTTTCTCCTGAGTGGAGAAAGGGCTACTACGCGGAGGGTATCTATGTGACTTCTTTTCTGACAATAGTGCCTGGCATAAAACAGTACTGAAAGAATTGATGGCATTAGCAGTGAAGGTTGAAGATTCAAGCAGGGGATAAATACATTCAGTTGGGCTCACAGTGATACCCATGGAGAAAGTCAAGTCTCTCTATCTCTTGAGGAGGAAGAGGCGAAACCTCCTGTGTGTTAGAGAGGCCCCTGCATAAATAGGGGCTTCACACTTATTAGCAAAGAAAGATATGGATGTCTTTTCTGCAGTTATATAATATACCATTGCTACCTATGTCAGGAACTAGACTTTGCTATGATGTCAGTTCTGGGAGCCTCTAGGGAAGAAGAGAATCTGGGAGCAAAATGAGCTCCCTAATTGCCAAGCCTAGCTGGGGCTCCTCTGTCTTTCCTCACCAGAACACACCCAACCCTCATCCTCTCTACTCACATACCACCACCATCACCAACAACCTCTTTTCTGTCTTGCTTGGAACTGGCCCAGGAAATCCTTTCCCTGATTTTCCTCTCTCAGAGGACAAAAATTCAATATAGGTTGAGCATCCTTAGCTCACCCCCCCAATCTTAAATATTTCAAACTCTGAAACTTCTTAAGTGCCTACATAGTGTCAGAGGAAGAAAAAATTCCATACCTGACCTTATATGACAGGTCAAACTGCAGGTGTGAAAAGCAGTGCTTAAAATTACCTTCAGTCTGAGAATATGAGATATATATGAAGGAGAGATGAATTTAGACTTACATTTGGGTCTCGTTCCCAAGATAATTCATTATGTATATACAAATATTCCAAAAATTTTTAAAAAGTGAAAATCTTTCTGGTCTCAAAGATTTAAGATCAATATTCTTAAGATTCATAGGAAGATGTGCCAACTCTGATGGCCAGGCCTATACTATAAAATTGGGGGGTGAGACATCCAGTTGGCCTCTTATGGCTTTATCCCTTCCCAGGAGACTGCTGGTTCCTGGCAGCACTGGGCTCCCTGACCCAGAACCCACAATGTCTGCGGAAGATCCTAATGGACCAAAGCTACTCACACCAGTATGCAGGGATTTTCCAGTTCCAGGTACGTGTACCACTAGTATCTCCTTCTACGATGGGGCACTCTGCAAGCCCCAAAGAGGCCAGAAATTTCAGTGTCTTCAACGAATGTGAGCTTGAGATAGGAGTACATCAGTTACCTTCCTCCCTCCAAAAAAGGATTCCATCTTTTCACTTATGTCCTGGTCACAGATGGAGAAGAGGAAAGCTAAATGTTTTCATGGAAATAGAAATGGTAGGAACGTGAGAAAAAGAAGAGTCGCTGGCATAGAACCCTACATGTGCCAGTCAGTGAGTTCTTACCTCTGACTATTCCTGTGCCATGCCATGCTATTTTAATGACAGGAGTGTTCTGGGAAATTGCAGCATCTGGGAGAATAACTTCTCCTTCATCATTCATTATTCTTTTCTCAAAAATATCTTGGTAATGCTTACACATTTATTCTTCCATGGGAATTTTTAAATAATTTTGTCTAATTAGACAGAAAAGCCACTGTGATATAGAGTGGAACAGCATCAAATTTATGTATTCATTTGGGAAAGCTGCTGTCTATTAAGTGTGAAACTATCTGGCCCCTCACCACGTTCTTTAGCTACTTCTCATGTCTTTTTTAGTTGAATCTGAACTGTTTTAATTGCCTGATAATTAACTTCAAGCACATGAGTTTTTTTCTCTTTTAATGCTTGTAGGAGTTCTTAGCTCTTTTCCTTCTCCCATTGGTTACAATTTTGAATCAGAACAACAAGAGTCAAAATCTATCTCCTTCCTATTTAAGTAAGGTACTTTCCTAATATGTTATTGGCCTCAATTTGCTGAGTTTCATTAGAATTTCAGACCCTATATTATGTCTAAAACTGCTTTCTATGTTATATTATTTTTTGATCTTGTTGGAGTTATGCTAGCTTTGTAAAATGAACTATTTCATACCTGGTTATTTGGTATAATTTGGGTAATGTTTGCGAATCAGACATTAAACAAGAGGACAAAAAAGAAAGCAAAATAGACAAGAGATAAATTACTTCACCCCACCTCATTTAAAAATATGATTTGCTTAATTCTTCCAGCGTATTCAGTGGCTATTAGTTGGGTTGAATCATTTAATTCTCCTGGAGTTACTTCTTGATCTTTATACTTGCCCAGAAAAAATTGGCTATTACCAAATATAATATCTTGGAGCTGCTTACAGGATTCTCTGATAGTTGATTTAATAGCTTGTAGTATGTGGCCAACGAGATGGCTCAGCTGGTAAGGGTGCCTGCCCCCGAGCATAAAAACCTGAGTTCAATTCCCAGAACCCACATGGTAGAAGAAGAAAGTCAACTCCAGCAAGTTGTCCTTGGAACTTCTCACACATGCCATGGCATGCTCAGGTACACACCACACCATACTCCCTTCCACATACAAATTCACAAACAAATAAAGAAATGCAATTATATAAAATTTTTATTGAATTTTTGCAATTTCCATACAACATAGTTTGGTGATATTTAGATCATCTCCCCCCCCACATCTTTCCCAAATGTCCCCCCACCCAACTTAATGAACTCTTATATGCATAATATAATATGGTGGATAAAGTTTTCCATACAACATAGTTTGATGATATTTAGATCATCCCACCCCACATCTTTCCCAAATGTCCCCCCACCCAACTTAATGAACTCTTATATGCATAATATAATATGGTGGATAGAGTCTGGTTTGTGTCCCCAAATGCCCTTCAGTGTGGGTCTATCTACTCAGTCTACCAAGAGTCCCATCCCTGTAAGACACTGCCTTTCCCCCTCACAGCAGCCATCAAATGCCAAAAGTTCCTTAGGTTGGATTGGGATTCCTTACCCACTTCCCTGTGTCTATGATTGGATTTTGTCAGATTTGAACTTGCATAGGACTTGTGCATGCTGTCACAATTGCTGATGAGTTCATATGAGTAAATGACCAGCTGTCTGAAAGAATCTATTTCCTTGTGGTCATCTAGTCCCTCTGGCTCTTATAATCTTTCTGTCTCCTCTTTTGAAATGATCCCTGAGCCTTGGGAGGCAGAGGTTTGGAATAGGTGTTTTATCCAGACATAAGCATTCTCTGGCATCTTGTTCTTTGCCCACTGGCTAATTGTGGGTTTCTGTGTTAATCACCATCTGCTGCATAAGGAAACTTCCCTGGTGAAAGTTAAGAGATACATTCATCCTAAGTATAGAGGTTGCATTGAAGATGTGCTGCTTTGGGTTAAACATCTCACAAACACTTATTCTCTACATTTGACCAGTTCTGGAATCCTGTAATAGTCTCCATCTGTTACAAAAAGAAGCTTCTTTGATGAGGGGTGAAAGGTGCACTTATCTGTAAAAAATGAGGATGCATATTTAGGATAAAATAAGAAATAACATTGTTCTAGGGATGTAGTAAAAGTAGGTTTTTCTCTAGGATCTATGACCTCTCCAGCCATGTGTATTTGGCTATGTTTACAGTACCACACATGAGTTTCCTCCCATTGAGTTGATCTTAATTCCAAGTAGATAGCAATTGATTACCCCCAAGATAATAAAAGTGCTACTACTGCACCAATAGCAATAGTTTGCTGGGCCAGTCATTGTTGTTTATTAGGCTTCACAGCTGGGTAGGACCAATGATTGATTTTTCTCCCTTGGAAGATTGTATGGTAGTTAAGTACCCTTTGATACCAGGAGAGCTAGTCTTCAGGGAGGAGGCTGCAAGATCAGTTCTAGCTTGATTGCTTCAAGTCCTGTGTCCAAAGTATGGCCTGTCTTCAGCAATAGGGTCTTACCTGCAAGTTCTGGGAAGCAATCAAGGGCTGTGGCAATAGCCTGTGTTGTTGTTCAGGAGTCTCTTGGACTACCCTGAGCAACAACTAGAAGGGAGGTTTCTCTTGTCTGGCACTGTGTTTTTTGTTATAGCCTTCAGCTAAATACATGTACTCGTATATTTATTGTATGCGTATTTTTCAGTAGGACTCCAGACTATTACATTCCCCCTTGGTTTTTCATACCATCTAAGTATTATTTATTTCTCTTCTCTGATAATCTGTGGTTAAATCACTTTCATGATCCCAGCTTCATATTTTTATTTTCCTTTTTTCTTAATCCAGAGTTTTTAATACAACTAACTTATTTTTCAGTTATGTGTGATGTGTCTCTGTAAGTGCTGGCATGTATGTGTCACAGCCCATGTGTGAAAGTCAGAGGGAAACCTTCAGGAGTCGATATTCTCCTTCTACTCTAAGATTCAGGGATCAAACTCAGATTGACAGGCTTGCATGGCAAGTATTTTTACCCACTGAGACATCTCCCTAGCCCCACAATAATCTATTATATTGATTTTTGTAGCAAATAAACATTTGGTTTTATTACTCTGTTTCTTTTTAAGATTTTGTTTTCTATATAGCTAATTTTATCTTTGCTAATTCCCTTTCACTTTCTATTGTTTAATTTTGTTTATTAAAAAAATTAAATGGCCATTTAGGAGTTGGAGAAATAGCTTAGGGGTAGAGTACTTGCCTAGCATTCATGAAACCCTGGGTTCAATCCCCAGTACCATATAATACCAAATGTTGGTGTCCATGCTGTAATCCCAGCAATCAGGGGTTGGAAACAGAAAGATCTGAAGTCCAAGGTCATCCTCAACTACATAGGGAGTTCAAGGCTAGCCTGGATACCATAGAATCTTGTTAAAAAAAAAACAAAAAACAAAAAAAAATAAAGCCCAGTTAATATCATTAGGCTTTGTATAATAAAAGCTCATAAGACTAGAAATTCCTTCTGGGATCTTATCTGTATCTATGTTTGGTATGAAATGTCTTTGCTAATTTTAAGATAATCTACATTTAATTTTTGATTTGATTTGTTGTTTGGTTTTTGATTTGTCTCTATTTGGGGAATTATTAAAACAACTTTAATTATGACCAAGTCCATGACAGTTTTTGTTAATGGTTCATGGGCACATAAAAAGAATACACATTATCCACTACCCACGCATTTTATTTGTGGAAACAATCTTTCTATTTTGCAGAATGTGTTATCTGCAATTGTCCATTTATTGAGACTGAATTTATCTCCTCAGTCCATCAGATCCTGGAAGAGCAACTGAGGTTTCTCCTCATAGTCTTGGTTTGGAGATTTTTTTCTCACACCTTGAAATGTTCTGGCTCTTCCCCATTGTAGTCTCTGGCAGCCAGTTTATGGCACCATTATCATTTTTTAAAGACAGTGCTTGCATAATGCAATGCCCCTTTTCGTTATACTTAATGCCTTTGACCTTGAATTCCTCTTTAGATGATCTTCATATTTCTAGTCCAGCTTCCTGTTATTTACATTTTTCTCTTGAGTCTTTGCTTAAGCTTTAGCAACTTCATTTCCACTGTTGTAGGTATATTTCTTAAAAGAAAGACGCACTCACTATGCTGTGCCTGCCACTGTTTCTTCCACGTTCATTTCTTCTTACCTTCAGATTTGGTTCTAATTTAACGTTCTCAGACAGAAGTTTCTTGCATAATTTCCTCAGGCTACATGAGAGGCCATTTGCTCTCCCTAAAGAGCAGCATCTTGGTTTGAATGAGAATTATTGCATCACATTCTTTTTCCTCAAAATTCCCATTGTCCTATTGTCTTGTAGTTTCCAGTGTTGCAAGAGAAAAGTTCAGTGTCAATCAACTTTGTATGCAGCATGCATTGTCAAACCACAAGACCCTACGTGGTTTTTCTAGCTTCCTGGAGTCCAGGAATTTATCTAGAGAACACCCAGGTGTGTGCAATTTAAGACATATTCTTGGACTGGGAAGATGTCTCAATCAGCAAAGTATATACCTACATACACACATACATGCACACATAAATAAACATGCCCACAAATATATGAGAAAGAGAGATAAAGAGAAAGAGAGAGAGAACACACACAGAGAGAGAGAGAGAGAGAGAGAGAGAGAGAGAGAGAGAGAGAGAGAGAAATACTCTGCCTGGAGGTGAGTCTTTCAACTTTTCATTCCAAAATTGCTGGTCTTATTTATCCCGTTCTTCCTTCTTGAAATCTAACTAGGTAATAATAGATCTTTTGATAAGCTCCCTGGTGAAATTACTGCTCGTGATGATTCGAAGATTACATGTAAGGTCACCCTAGAAGACCCAGGACTGAGCTGGTCATAGGCTTACCACAGCATTGCTGGGAGAGACTTAGGTTGTTAGGACAACCAAAAACCCAGGTAGGGCACATTCTGTCCTATGTGACAAAGAAAGCCACACAATTCCCAGTACCTTGGGCTGGTGAGGTAGCTTAGCACTTACCAACAAACCTGATGACCTGAGTTCAATCCCTGGGACCTACATGGTAGAAGAAGAAAGCTGACTCCCACAAATTGTCCTCTGACCTCCACACATATGCCATAGCACATGTGCCTGTGTGCACATGCACAGACACATAAGTGTAATATAGAAAACCAATTTCCCATACCATCTGCAGTGCTAATCTCTGTAGAACTCATCTCATCACTGTGAACTTGGGTATTATTAAAAGAAAGCACTCAGTACCCAAAGCACTTCAAATGCTTTGCCCAGATAAAGTCTTATTTCCCCATCTGGCACATGGCATTGGCAAAATGGCACCTATGTGGTTCTTGAAGGGCATAGACACTGTTCATGTCAGTCCTCCTCAGCCAGGAAATACAGGCTATAGCTTCATTTTTGACGACCAGTCAGCCTACTTGCCTGTTCTCTGGGAGCAGTAATCTTATACATATGGAGAAAGCAGGTTTGGTTCATCTTATTAGTGGAAGAAGATGGAGGTGAGGGTGATATAAAGGGCAGAGTAGCTCCCTTGACCCAAGACATTGTCATTCATCATGACCTCCTGGGCATTAAACACTAGCCACATGATTCCTCAAACCACAGTCCCTCAGAACTACATGATCCTTCCCAGTTTCATCTCATACCAGTCAGAGCCCACCAGGCAGTTCTTTTATCTCACTATCATTTGGCAGTTGTAGAAACTGAGCCACAGTGAAGTGACTTACTAGACATCTCTTTTTTGATAACAAGAAGTAAAAGCAGAATCCAGGCACAGTTCTACCAACTGTACACTGTCCATTCTGTGTTGCTACTGAACTAAGTACAAAATCCAGATGGCCCTTCGTATCCCCACTCTGGGAGCTGGGATTAGCTTTCCTTGATGGCTCCCTATTGCCTCAGCTTCACAGCCTGCACAACTTACAGCTTGCTGCAAGAGGATCATTCATCCACAGCTGTGCCCTAGTGAGCCTCAGTGCCCTGGCTCTTTAATGACCATGAAAGCATCTTCACCTTGTATCCACTGATGTCTGCCTCTGTCTCTGTCTCTGCTCTGGAAGTACATCCTCAACTGAATGTGATAGCCTCACTACCTGGGACATACTGCTGTGGAAGAGATCATGTCCTCCCACATTAGCAAAGGCAACGTCCAGGAGACTTGTCTTCTTTAAGTTCAAGCCTGAAACTGGAAGTCCTGCCACTCCATCCTGTCCAAGGGAGGCCAACAAAGAAGCTCGAGAGACTGGTGTTGTAATGAATGTTCCTCATTTGGTGATGTCCCTGGGTGAACCATTTGGAACTGAACACTAAAGATGAAAGTGTCTGTTTTGGAGAAGAACATCTGGCTCATTTGTGGTCTCAGCAGTGTAAGAGTGCTTGCCAATTTCATTTCTCTGCTATAACGGCAAGGCCAGCACAATGTGAGGACAGGAGGGCCAGAGTGAGGCTGACTCTGCTCAGCCCTCCTGTACCAGTCATGTCATCCTGCCTCCAGGCCTTTGCCCATGCTGTCTTCACTGTCTGGGATGCACTCACTTTCTGCCTGGTATGCCTCCTTTCTCAAGCCCTCAGCTCCAGGTCAGTTCTCCTGCACCATCATAGCCCAGCATCTGCCACTCTTTTTTGTTGTTTAACATACATTCCCTCTGCTACTTTTTGTGAACAAGAAAGAACTGGAGAATCTCATGAAGCTCACAAAGGTCTTGTCAAAGTGAGTCCATGGTTAATAGCAGAGTCAAAGTAGACCCTTCTCCCCCTTGCCTGTGTTTCCAGAGCTAACCTCCCCATTTTCTTGGTCTGTGCCGCACTTTCTCCTCCTGCTATTGGAGATGGCATGCATATGCCTTTCCTAGCAATTTGGGATGGAATTTTGTTCTGAATTGAGTTTGTTATTGCACCATGGAGGTCATGTTGCAAGGTGAAGACACTTTGACTTAGGGAGGAAGGTTGCAGAAACTCCCTCCTGGCCCAGATCCACTACAGTGTATGCTTGTCTCTGTCTTCCAGTTCTGGCAGTGTGGCCGGTGGGTAGAAGTGGTGATTGATGACCGCTTGCCTGTCATAGGAAAGAACTTTCTCTTTGTGCATCCTCGAAGAGACAACCAGGAGTTCTGGCCCTGTCTGATGGAGAAAGCCTATGCCAAGTAAGTATGAGCAAGCCTCTCTGCCCAGTTTTGATGTCGGCTCTGCCTGCCCGGTGTCTTGCCCTTGCCGATGCTCCCCGCCAGCTGGCCCTGCAGCTCTCAGTCTCTCTTCTGAATGAAAGCAATGCCCCTTTGAGCATCAGAGCCCTTGCCATCCATCTAGACATTTTTTTTTTTGTAAAAAGTTGCTGTATGCAAGGGTCAGTGATGGGACATACAGTGAAATGTGGGCTAGAGAGATCTGTACACACATAACATGATGGCTAGGTTAGAATAGACTCATTCTTCTATCTGAAGGAGAGTGGTTCTGATATCAGAATCCATGGATGGTCAAGACCTTTATATGAAATGGCATAGTATTTACATATAAACTGTTTATATTCTATATGCTATAAATCCTCTATACATTACATTTACTACCTAACATGATATAAATGCTATGCAGATAGTTGTTATACTGTACTATTGTGTAACTAATGACAAGAACTCGTCTGCACATGCTCAGTAATGGCACAGTTTTTCCCACCACTTTCAGTCTAGGGTTGGTTGAATGGCAGGTACAGAGCCTGCATAGCAGAAGGACCAGCTGTGTAATATGCTCACAGTCTGAGGGGAGGGTAGAGGAGGAAATGATCCTGACTCCCTGGCCTACTAAGAGGCTGAGTGAGGCTATTGGAGGAGATGGTATCCGAGAGAAGTTGAAAGAATGGGTAGGCCTCTGCAGTGAGGGGAGACCCATGAATGGAGACAGTGGGAGTGGGTCAAACAAAGGCTTTGGTGAAACACTTCTACGGTCCAGAAGCTGAGGGTTGGGTGTGGCTTCTAGGAGATCTCATTTGTGTTATGGGGTGACCATGGGGTGATGTCAGGAGCCCTTTCTGGTCCTAACAGGCTCAGGATTTGTAAAGCATCTCAGATCAGGTGTTTTCGTTAGACTAGTTTATTCAAGATATGTCCACTGAGCATTTCACCATATGCCAGGAACTGTGCTTGGCACAGCATCAGACACTTGCAGGCTCACTCAAGTGGATTTATGCAAAGGTATGAGTTTACTTGTGTGTATGGAAGGAGGGCACTGTCCTGAAGACCTTTAAGATGATCAAGAGATATGATCAGATATTCTATAGCTAGAAAATGAAAATAGAGTAAGAAGACATCCTCTATGCTTCAGACTGCAGAACTCAGAGCTAGATAAGACCAAGCATCTGCTAGCATGTGGGGATCCAGGAAACTGTCCTGGAGGGCATGTCCTGAGGCAGCCTTCAGAAGGCCGCTGGCCACCCTTAGATTACTTTTAGGCACATGTCACATTCAATGAGGACATTCCTAGATAGGCCCTACAAGGACAGGCCTGGGCTTTTCCTGATGATGCTGTGGGTGGGTGATATAAAGTGTTCTTCACTAAGGTGCACATGGGATGGCTATATTCCATGGAGAGCCATACAGCAGTCAGAATCCACACATGCAGTCTATATCTAGGCCGATCCTCTGGGGCTGGGTACTAAGAAAATGGGGCAAGAAACACTGAGCAGTAAAGCAGGAAGTCATTTATGGATATGGAAATTATGTCCACTGCACTATGAACTTTACAAGTACGTATATAAACGAAAAGCTGCAGATTAAACATCCTGAAATTTTTGTATGTGAAGGGAAAAGACAGAAAGGAAGAAGAAAAGGAAATGGGGCAGGAGAGAGTAGGAAGGAGCCCAGCAGCCTGTCCTGACTCCCTGTCTAATCGCTGCTTACCCCACCTGGCTTCGCCTTCCTCAGGAAGCTCTGGCTCATCTTTGCACATCTTGGCCTCAAGACCTCGCTCTCCCAGCCTCCCTCTGGCTTCAACACCTGCTGCTTCTACCCCATCCTCTGCTCCTTATCCAATTCCAGTTGCTAACAGTGACAATCTGACTGGCCAAGTTCACACTGGGTCCCTGTTGGTACTCTTCACCGTGATGGCTGCTGAGTAGCTATCGGGCTTCTGTGAGCAAGAGCTGTGAAAGGGACAGTTTCCCCAAGAAGGGCTGCATGAAGGGCACACAGAGAACAGAGAGGGGCACATAAGAGAGATAAGTCAGGGCTCACAGGTGAAACTGCACAGAAGCCTACAGACTTGGAGAGAGAAGGAGTGGGAGGCACAGTCGTAGGGTTGGAAGGCTCCTCACTTCACACACAAATAAGCCGAGTCTCCAAGCCACCATGGGACATGTGCCAGCAGTTGAGTCCCCTGATCGCTAGCCTGGGACCCCATCTAGTAGGATTGGAGTCTGGCTAGAGTCATAGTCTAAATGACAGGGCTGGCAAGAACTCTTTGTGTACATTCTCTCTCTTTTGAGGCAATTTGTGTAAAACTAAAGTTGCTTCTCTTCCAGAGCTGTTTGTTAGCATTAGAAAAAGGCCAGATAACAGCCAGGGCAGGCGTTCTGGGAGGCTAATTCACTTCTAAGCTACTTACACAAATACTGCCATTATCTTTGCAGGATGGATTCCACCCTCATCACTTCTGGGCCTCGTTCTTTTTTTCCCTTATGTAAAAAGGGGTGGCCTAGAAGTGGGCTGGGAGAATTAGAAAGCTTGCAGAAGGAAATGATGACTTTGACCCCATTTTGTTAACAGCTGACCTAAAGCAACTATTCAGCTTGAGAAGAAATGGTAGAGTGGACCCAAATCCCACATTCCACTGCCTAAAGAAACCTAGTGGGGGATAAAATGTTTCATATTAAAGCTGTTTAGAAGCTTTGCCCTCACCTACCCAAAGAAGAGAGTTACACAATACAGAAGTGAATTCTAGCGTTTCAGAGCTAGTGCACTAGAGCACTGAACCCCCACTTCACACACACACACACACACACACACACACACACACACACACACACACACTGTGAGGAAATAAGAAAACTAAGGCTCAGGGAGGGAAAATCACTTTCCCACCATCACACTGTGGTCACATCCAAGCTGCGACCAAGCACTTCCTCCCTAGTCCTGTTCTATCCTCTAGTCGTGGATATTGTCAGTCCTTTGGAAGGATATTTATCTTCTTGTTTCTGGTAGAACTCAGTACCTGGCACACTGGGACCCCACACAAACATAGAGGGCACAGCTGTCCACGGCATTCCCTCTGAGGGCATGGACAGCAGCTCAGTGAATTTCCAACTTCCAGTAATTCCTGTGCTGGGGAGTCTGGAAATGAATTGGCCAGAGAAGTCAAATGTCAGGGGAACAAACCATGATTGGGGGTTGTTTCTTCCAAGGGTTACAAAGTAGAAGAGATGGGGATAAGATCTGGCAGGCTGCATGCTGTTGTTTGTGGAGTCTCTGCAGGTAAGAACTAACTGTTACATCTCAGTCTCCTGTCAGGCCCAGGGTTAGACATCCGGAATCTTCCTTCTTTCCTATCAGTGCGTGGAGACATTTCTCGAAGATGAGGCTGAAGCAGAGGGGTAAGGACAAGGTTCACTCAGAATCCCTGGGTTCGGGTGACAAGAATAGTAACAGCACCAGTGGTGAATGCTATTTCTCTCTCTCTCTCTCTCTCTCTCTCTCTCTCTCTCTCTCTCTCTCTCTCTCCATTTTCTGTCAGCAAAGGGGGACTAAGAATAGTTGCCATGTTCCTGACACATCAGCAGGATTCATAAGCTCCTTTTGTAAAGAAGAAAGATAACTCCTTGTCAAAACATCCAGCTGAGGCTTGGACAGGCTTTTTAGGCACTGAAGACAGTGAGAGAAGGTTCTGGAAGACATGAGCAAGGGGTGCTGGCTGTAGCCAGTCAGACAGGGAGTCTTTCCATTGTGTGTAGAGTCTCTTTGGGGACTGCAGAATGATGTGGGTACCAGACCTCAGATGAGGCCCAGAGCTACAAAGGAAGTTGAGGAAGGTCACAGGCCTCCCTGGAGCAGCCCCCTCGTGGTCCTGTTTGAAGCAGGGAGGGTCCTTGGATATAGGCAGGAAGGACTGCTGCACGAGGCACTAGTGACTCTGGAATGGTCCCTGGGAACTTCAGTATCCTTAGGAAAAATATGTGACATTAAGAGCCAAATGTTCAGACCTAACAGGGCATAACTCTGGTCAAAGGGAGCCTGTGCCATTGACTGAGCAAACACTGTGGAGCTAGAGTCTAAAGCCAGCCAGAATCAGGAGCCAAAGGAAGGAAGGGCAGGGAACAAGACCAGAATCCATGTTAAACAGTCTGGATAAATGTCACCTGAGTGTCTCTGTAGAACTGCCCCTTTGGTCTGTGGATCCTTAGCTTTCTGTAATAAGAGGTTTTCTAAGATGTCCTTGGACTGTGTGGCTGCTTACAATAGTTGCTTGATAGGTATTTGCTGATGTGATTTTTCTGGAATTCTGTGTTATTCCAGGGGGAACGTGACTGAAGTAGAAACAGGATAAGGAAGGAATGTCTGAGGGCCCAAGTGTGATCCAGTTCATCCTGTTGTGTCCAGTGGAAAGTCTTACATGCAGAATGGGGCAGGGTCAGCTCCAAGGCTAAAGGCCTTGTTGGGGGCAACAGTGGGGATGGGCCCAGACCGCAGACTCCCAGCTGATTTTGTAGCACTAGAAGAAAAACAGAAACCACAGCAGGGATTCTGACCACAGCTATCACACATGAAGGGCTCTGCCTCTGCCTTCCAGGGGACAGTAATGTATAGGGACTTGGCAAGAGCTACAATGTAGCAGAGTAGAGGGCAGCATCCACAGCCAGGCAGCTGCCCACTGGGCCTGCACCTCCTGTCCTTCATGGCTTGCCATGGCTATAGTTTGGAAATCCACAATTCACCCCACGAGTCTGACCCATGTGACCCTGTCTCAGTGGTATCATTGTGACTGCAGTCATTGTGCTCTTCTAGAGAGCACAGGCCTCCCCCAGCCCCATCACCCACCCCTCTAGATCCATCATGCCCTTCCTTGGGGAACTCCAGTTTGATTCTTCCTCCCTGGAATGCCTCTGCCACTCCTGTTATCCAGGCGACCCTCAATTCAAGTACATGTCAGGCAGTTCTCTGGACCCCCAGGCTAGGACCATCCTGTCTTCTGTCTTCCACGGTGATCCACTTGCTCTAGAATGTCTGAGGGGGCAAAGAATTTGATGTGTTATAATTGACAACCCTCTTCTGAGGGGGCAAAGAATTTGATGTGTTATAATTGACAACCCTCTTCTAAGGAGAGTATGACCTGTTGCCAAAGAAATGTTGTGGAGGGCAGATAGTCCTGGAGAGAGGAAAAAAGGGAGCACAGATCACTGTGCCTCATGATGGACCAAGGCTCTTCCCTATGCTGCCTGCATTTACTCACACTACCCAGCTCAGTGAGGCAGGGATGGGAATGCCCTTTCCTCACACTGGCAAAGGGAGCCTGAGAAAAGCTCAGTCTCATTCCAGGGATTGAGAGCTTGTGAGAGGGAGCCAAGAATGGAGCCTGAGGAGTGTGTGATGAGGTGCCAACCAGGAGATACTGAGCAAGGTTTAAAGGCTGAGACTTGAGACAGGATCAAGAAGAAGGCAAGGCTGAGACAGTGAGCCTGGGTGTTTCTGGGGTGCAGGTGAAGAAGCAGAAAGCCATGGGTAATGGCAGTGGCAGAGGTATTCTGGAGAACAGGTCTGAGGGTCTGTATGTCAGACTCATCCCTTTCTCTTCCACCTTCACTAAAGCCTTTCTCCCTCCTGATTTCCAGGGAGAGGGGTTGTAAGAACAGGCTGTTTGTGTCCATGCTGTTCTTGGAGCTGCTGATTGTGAGCTCTGAGGGAAAGGATGAGGTCTTGCATGTCTTTGAGCATGTGCTTAGTGTGGTCCTAGCACACATCGGTGCTCAGTGTGTTTTCAGACTGAAGAAGCAGCATCATATTCTCATCAAAGCAGCATTCAATGTTTGCTAAGAGCTAGCTGGCCCTGGTCTCGTCTCCTTCATGGACATGGCCCCCTGTGGATGGAAAAGTCCTTCACCTAGGGAACTTGCAGAGGGTTAGTGTGCAGTCTCCCACCCCCAAGCTAACCTGGCTTCTTCCTCCAAGGCTTCTTGGCTCCTACTCACATCTGCACTACGGTTACCTCCCTGATGCCCTGGTGGACCTCACAGGAGGAGTGGTCACTACGGTCAACCTGTACTCCTCCCCTTCTGATCTACTGATGGCTGTGAAGACAGCAGTCAAGGCGGGCTCCCTGGTGGCTTGTGCCACCCCAAAAGGGGTGAGTAGATAGGGATTCACTTTGTACCCACCAAGTCTCTCCTTGCCCATGAGTGTCCAGCCAGAGCCCGTAGCTAGGGAGGGGCCAGGCAAGCAGCCACAGTGGAGGCTAATGGTGAGCTCCACAAAAGTGGCCTCATTCAACCTGCATCTTCCCTCTGAGAAAGGGACTCTGAATTCACTTCACAGAAATGGGAGTGAGCTCAGAGATGCCAAGTCAAGTTTCAGAATCACATAGCTGGAAGATGCTATGCAGAATTTGAATGCTACTGACCCCTAAATCCCTACATACGGTATCCCCCTGACCAGGAGCAGCACATGATCCAGGGTGACTAGAAGGCTTATCAGGTGCTGGAGAAGGCAGCTATAATTGCCAGTAGCTCCTCTGTGTTTTCCTTAAGTTTATAAAGAACCCTGGTTCTTAGCAGCAAGTCCCATTTTGGAAAGCTTGCAAAACCTCCAAATTATTTGAGTCTGTTCTGAGACACCTGGCTTCTTATCCACAAGACACTTCCTATAGTCGTCAACCAAGACCAGATCTGAATGCTATCAGAAACTGAAGGTGTACTTTAAACCTCTATTCCTGGCACCAGGAATATTGTGGGGGGATTTCCTCCAGCAAAGGGCCCCTCAAACATGTACTATACTATGTCTTATCCATGACGAATAGTCAGTGTAACAAGCAGCCCACGTTGTCGGGAACTCTATGAGTTCCATCAGTCAGTAGGGTGGGTATCTCCTGGGCATGAAGCACTGTAGCCTCACCCAATCAGTCATTTCTATCTCTATCTCTAAGGAGGCACATACCTTTCCTGGTGGGTTGAGGCTTTGCTGGCTCAGCTACAGTCTGAATCTATTTCTCTATGTTTGAAGAGCCTGTGGGTACTGAGGGCTCCACCTGCTTTTCTCTCCTGTAGCTGACAGATGAGGCCGAGGTGATGGAGAATGGGCTGGTGAGCCAGCACGCCTATACAGTGACTGGGGCTGAGCAGGTAAGACTGACCTGCTGGGCTGGCATCTGTCCTCTGGAATCTGCCAGGTGTATCTGCGCCTCTAAACAAGGGTCAGAATCGCACGCCTCCAACAGCTAGCAAGCGTATACGTCTCTCTCACCCCATCATGGCCCCCCTCCAGCAGTTTCAGCTCTTTCTATTGACCTAATGCTCTAGTGTCTAGGGTCATTCTCCTCCAGGACTCCTTTCCCCACAAGTCCTTGCTCTGTGTGAAGTGATCTCAGGAATAGGTATCTAGTTAGATGAGGGATTAACCCCAAAGGGAGGTAGAATGAATCACCCGATTGACTCTGGGAGAAGCTTTACCCTGAAATTCATTTTGTTTGTGACCTGCAAGCTAAACGAGGGTAACAAAAGTGCTCCAAGATGCAGGTGCTTAACGAGGTAGTATTTACTTCTCTCAACGGTAAGCAGGTGATACTGGGTTGGTGGGTGGCTCTGACATCCTAAATATGGGCCTTCTTCCACCTGTGAGTCCAAGACACATACTCTACTTTTGTCTCCAAGTCTGTGAAAAGAAAGAGGCCAAGGACCTTCTTTCCTCTCCAAAGGGGGCAGGACCCGGAAAAGACATTCATCACTTCATCCCTTCTCACAGCCCATTAGCCTGAACCTGATCCTGCAGCCATACCAAGGCCCACAGGAGGCTGGGAGATGCACTGTCTGGCTACTTCTATGTGCCCATGTGGAACCTGACTCTGTGAGGGCGGGGACAGCATCAGAGGGCAATCTTCCCTGGTAGGAGAACAGACTGTGAATGAGCAAAAATGTGTGTGATTTCTGGGTAAAGTATAGTCTATCTAGAAAACACTACTGAAGTCTAACTTCATTCTGGGTGAAGAGAAGCAGTTTGCTCAAGCTTTCAGACTTAGCTTGCTATAAAACAGCAACCTGGCACCTGACCTCTCCAGTTTGCATTCTTGGTCATCCCACAACTGTGTAGTAATAGTGTTTCCTGGCCTCACAAGCTTTCCTATGAGTGCTCTCTGTCTCTGTATTTCCCACTACTCTGGAGGTCAGATGTGGCTTCTGATCACTAAGAGACAGAGTTCCAAACTCCAAGGCTCACTTCTCTCAGGTGCCTGTGCATTAGGGAACAGAGTGTCAAGTGCCATCTGTGACATTCTCAAGCTTGCCCTAACTCCTCTTCACCAATCTGTCTGTCCCATCCATCAGCTGAAGGCCAATTGTCCCATTGTTCCTGTCCTAATTCACAAAATGGGGACAGTATCCTGTATACCTCCCCCCAAAAAATAAGCACCAATATGCTTGAAAGCAGTAGAATCTAATAAATGCTTGGTCAATGAATGAGTGTACTTGCAAGAGTGAATGAATGAATGAATTTGCTCTTGGTCTGAGAAGGTGACATTGCTGATCTCCCATCATAGAAATATATAAGAAGCCAAGAAGGCACTTCCATGAGCAAGGAAGAGCTTGCCCTGATACACCCAGGCCAGAAGAGATCCTAATCACAGTGACTGCAGACTCCAGTCCTCAGAACCAAGCCCCAGCCCCTCTGCTGCACCCTCCCAAGGTCTCCCTTGACTTCCCAATGGGGACAGCTCATATCATTATCACACTGGCCATGTGTGGACACGCCACGCCCTACAGCTTCATTGTCCTGGATGTGGACAAGTCTCATGATTGCCAATAGGTTTTACCTTGTTTGGCAGCTGTGACCACTTAGCCATACTGCCTGGATTTCTGTGTTGACAAGACTTTGACTTTGCTTACGAAATAGGGGAAAGACAGCTGTGGCCAACTGGTGATTATGTGTGGTTGGCATGGGGTGAAGGAGTGTTCTAAACAGAGTATTTAACCTGGAATGACAGATGATTCCCACACTGTTGTTTTGAGCAGGTATTGTATCGCAGAATGTACTTTTGAGAGATGTTCTGTGAAAACAGGTTTCCAAATTCACTTGAAAAATACATCTCACCATTTCCTCTTCCTAGAGATGCACATTAGCAGTGTGAAGGCTCTAGAAGGCCTGCATTAATACTACTTGGTTGTAATATACCATTAACCATGAAACCATTTTATCCTAGATCTAACAATTAATGGGCAATGGAAATAGCATTCAGGAAAATATATCTGAGGAACCACTATTTAGGGTAGATAAACTGGGCCATCTCTGGTCCAGTAGCACCTTTTATCTACAAGAGCTGACCAAGGTCAAGAGGATAGACAGAGCAGTGAAGGCTATAAGCCATCCCATTCTTATCCCTAGCCGTGATCTTGGTCTTGAATGTAACCCCTGAGCCTCTGGTCATAGCTTGTGTGATTATCAGTAGGGAACTCTCATAAAGGACACAAGGGCTCAGGACCTTGACTTTGTTAAAGACTCCCTCCCCTCCAGAGAGAGAAGGCTGTAACTCTGAGCCACAAGTGCTAAGATTAAACCAGCCTGTAAATGTAGTGTGCTTTTTAATCTGCTCATCCTCCCTCCAGGCAGGGCACAGACAGGAAGATAAATGAAATTGGCATTTTTTATTATGCACCTAGCTCTGCCAGCAACTCCCCTGGGCCAGGGGGTGAGTGTTTATCTGCATGCCTCATTTAGCCCTGTTCTCAGTCCCTTTGAATCACTGGCTACTTCTCCTCCCTATGCCCAACTGAGCCCCCAACTCTTCATTGGGCACCCAGAGTGGCTCATTAAACTCTGTGGGCTACCTGGTGACCATTTCTCATGTCCCTGATGGGTGGGCTCTAGCAGGTGCTGACAGCTAATGATAAACCTTGTGCTAGGCTTATGGGTGGGGCCAAAAGGATAGGAAACCTGAATTTGTGCCAGGAGAGGGCCCCTGGAAGCCCTACAAATCAGAGCACCTTCCAATGCATACTGTTCAGAGATGGGACAGACCTGGAAATCAATACAAAAGACCTTATCTGAGCCAAGTTCCGGGCTTTGTGTGACCATGGAGTACCTTCAAGGCAGTGTCTGTTGGTGATCACATGGGCCTAAGCAAGGTGGCTCAAGGTCACAGCCACATCTAAAGAGTCTTTATCCATGTCTATTTCCAAAATTGGTACCCAGTTCTAAAATCAGGAGACAGCTTCAGGAACAGCTAGGATGAAAATTCTCTCTCCTCCACTTACTTAGTGGCCTGAGGAAAGTTGCTTCATGTCGCTGATGCCGTTTCCTCCTTTGAAAGACAAGGATTTTATAAACATCCACCCCAGAGAACTGAAGGGCTGAGGCAGCAGTTAGCTGGGGCCTGCTTCTGAGTTCTGCTTCTGCGCTCTACCTCTGCACACAGGTTTCTCATGTCTAATGGTAGGCATTTGGTTTCTCAGCCTCCTGACCTAGAGTCTGTGGGCTGCTCTTTCTTCTCTAGACCCTCCCTCTCCTCAGACAGCATGAGCATGGATCAATAGACCAGCTACAACACAAACACACTTTAGTCCCCCATTCCAGGTTGAAGGCTCTGGCTCCTGGAAATGTGGGTTCAAGAGTTTGCTACTGTTGTTGTAACACCCCCATAAGGCTTAGGTGAAAGAGTACATACAGGTGCTACCTGAGTGACACAGGTAGGGATGCTGAGGAAGGGAAGTTCAAGCTGTCAGAGGCCACTAGTTCACAGACTGGAGTGTCTGGTCAGGGTCAAGATGCAGAATGAAGAGAGATAGTCTCAACTATCTCAGCTCCCAGACTGTCCCTGTCTTCCTCATACCAGCCTCCTCTCCCTCTTCACTTACAACAGTGTTCCTGGCAGGCTGCTGGCAGAGACAGGGGCTATACTTGTAGACAGATGCCCTCGTGAGAGGAATTGGAGGAGGCAGGGGACTGAAAAGCTATCTGTCCAGCAGCTCAAGGCAGCCTCCTCTGCTAGGTCACTGCTATTAAACCTGAGCTCACCCAGCTCCAGGAAACAGCTGCCCAGCATGATGGAGCTGCTCCTGCTTGTGCTAGGGGCTGAGCAAAACAAGGGCCATTTTCTCCTCTCTCTCATTCCAAGCTCTATGCAGGCAGCAAGAGAGACATTGATTTTTTTCCTTCCTTTCATTTTTCTCCTGACTGCAGCCAAATGAGGTCAGAAGTTAAATTAGTCCTTGGAGGTAAAAAGCAGCTGCGTTCATACTGTCTCCCTGCTGACTTTTTCCAGAGAGCCCTGACCCATCCCTTTTCATTCTTCCTTACAGATTCAGTACCAGAAGGGCTGGGAAAAAATCATCCGCCTGTGGAACCCCTGGGGCAATACGGAATGGAAAGGGCGCTGGAGAGATGGGTATGGCTCCTGGGAACTGGGCAGGTGAAAATTATTCACTGAGAACCTGGGCAGCTGGGCAGCGTCTGGCCTGCCCACTGCGGACAGCACTGCAGGGATGAACAGTTCATCAGTGACTGCGGCTGTGGATACACTTATGTTCCAAGAGTGTCACTCTCCAGGCATCTATTAGATACCTATTGTGTACACACCACTAAATGTGCTCTGGGTTAGGTGGTTGCTGTGACATATATGCAGATAATAAGACCCAGTATCTGTCCTCCAAGAGGCTAAAGTCTAGAACTGTGCGCCCACATACCCAAGATTAGCAAAGAGGGTGAGTGACTGTGTGAAAGCCACCTTCCCATTGTGGAGAGAGATGGAGGGCAGGGCAGGAGCCTCATTCTTGGAAAAGAGTCTGTGGATTCCAATGCTGATGATGCCATGGGATCAGAGCATGCCAGGCCTCATGTCTGGCAGGGATAAGGAAACAGAAGCAATGAGCTAGATGACCTTTTTGCTGTGTCTACTCAGATGCTCAGGCCTGCCTACTGACCTGGACTCAGTACATTCTCATGCCTGCAAGTACACCTTGCTCACAGTAGGAGTAGCTGGAGTATGTGGGTCTCCAGCACCCTGATGAGCAGCTGGGTATTGAGTGATTTCGTCAAGATGCTGGACTGGTATTCCCAGCTGCCATAAACTGACCCCTGGTGCCCCACTGCCTTTTATGAACAATTGTATATCTAGCTTCCGCATATGGAAGAGAACATTCAATATTTGTTTTTCTTTTGCCCTTCCTGTTACCACCTCTTGTTTCTCCTCCATCCTCACCCCACCCTCATCCCCATTCTTACTGCTTTGGTAACTGAGAGGGGGAAAGGTGGTGGGAGAAAGAGGAGCAGCAATACTTTATGTGTTCCTCTTGGTGGGGCCAGTGGGCCTGTCACATTCCTCTGAGGATCTGTGCAGACCTGTAAAAAGCATCACAGCACAGTGGCCACAGCCTCATTATCAGTGGGGGTGGGAATATGATCAGAAAGGAAATGCAACGTGCCAGACAACAGAACAGGCTCCAACAAGTCGTGAAAATCAATACAGTGAGCACAGTGAGCTCTGGAAGGTACATGCAGACGGTCAGTGTTCCTGGCCCAATCTCTCTCTCTCTCTCTCTCTCCCTCTCTCTCTCTCTCTCTCTCACACACACACACACACTGTACACACACTACACACACAAGCCCTCTCTCTCTCTCTCTCTCTCTCTCTCTCTCTCTCTCTCTCTCCCCTGTGGCTCATGCATGCTAGGTAAGCTCTTTACCACTGAGCTACATTCTCTGCCTCTGCAATTTATTTGAAACAGTCTTATTATGTTGCTCAGGCTGGGCTTGACTCACTCTGTAGTCCAAGCTGGACTTGAACTTTCCATCTTTCTGTCTCAACTTCCAGAGTAGCCACTTGGAGATAGTAACCTGTGCCACTAGGCCTGATTTATATCCTTTACTCTTTCTAAAATAAATCCTAGTAACTTCCAGTTGTCCCCAACTCTCCATACCCAACACTCCAAGCAGCCAAATATGGACCAAAGGTGTGTTTATTGGGTGTTAGAAGTAGAATTAGACCAATGGCAACATCAGGTTCCCTAGGGTAGAGGACACACAATAAACTCACAAAGGTTGATAGTCTCTACATCTCCCATACTAACCACTGAATGACTAGGGAAGGTCACAAGGGACATCAGAACTCAAGGAAGTAAAAGGTTCCATGGGTGGGCATGTTCAGGGACAGCATCACAGATAGCAGTGAACGTGAGGTGTCCTAGTGGGAAAGGGGGTGGGGTGTGGTTCAGAGGAGAGGGAGATGCACAGGCCTCCCATTCCTACCCTAGTCCATGCTGGACTGAGGCAGAGAAAGCAAGGAGGAGGAGACAGGGCTTGGAAGCATGAATTTGTACCCTACAGGGATAAGTGTGAATGAGGCTTCTGAACAGAGGACTGTGTGTGCAGAGCAGTACCCACTCTGTAGGATCATGTCCCTTGACAGAATGTGGAGAGGAAGCCCTCCCCTCCATCAAAACCAGGGTGGAAGGAGGCAGTGGGGACCGTATAATCACTGTGTCCATGCAGGTGGTCGATTTCTTCCCTACTTTTTAGGAATGGAGATGGATGGAGAGAGCTGGATGGTCTAATCTCAGCCATAATTGAAATTTCAGTCGCACACACTTAAAGGCAAACTTGCATGAATCAATAGCATATTGATTTACACTACATTTATTTTCCCTTACACACTGCAGAAAATGTAATTATCGCTTAATTATAAAATTGCCATTTTACAATAACACATCTGACTGCCTCAACCAGCAACCGGAAGCCTGGGTGGTGGTCTATGCCTTGCTGTACTGGCACAGTGGTGACCCAGGCTATTTGTGTGGAATCCTCCATGGGAAAGATCTCATTATACTGTTATGCCTCTGGGGCCTGGAGCCTACGTGTTTGCTTCTACTTTGAAGTATGAGCTAAAGGAGGAGCAGCCATTTCTTCCTCCCCATCAGACCCAAAACTTGCTTCTGGAACATATCATCGCAAAGAATTAGTTAAGTAAGCAAGTAAGAAAAAGTCATTGCATTGTGTATATGCCAAGCTGTGTGTCTTAGACACCTGTGATGACAGCTGTGATGATGCGTGGTCTCTTGCGCTTGGAGTCTAGTTAAGAGAGAGAAAGAAAGCAAAAGTAATGGAGCAGTCATAGCCATACAGAGCCCTGGGTGCTGTAAGGAGTGGTGCAGGGGCCTATGGGTGCTCAAAGAAGGGGCCAGCTCTAAGTGTGGAGCAGGTAGGCTATAAGAGGCCACCCCAGGCTTCCCCATACATACAAAGGTGGAAAGATAAGTGAGACTTAGCACGTTAGCACTAGGAGGAGGAAGAATGCTCTAGATGAAGAAGCATCACAGCCAAGAAGTATGTGTGCTGGGGAGAAGGTATCTTTAAGGAAATAAAGGCATTCATGATTGCTGGAGTATAGAATTTAAAGGTAAGGGTGGGGCAGGGAACAGCCTAGTTAAACCTGGAGAGGTTGATAGAAGTCAAGGTTTTCTTTAAGGAGTGTGAACTTTACACCACAAATGTATTTTAAAGAAGGAAGTGACATAGTCAAGTTCCTGGTTTGACAAGCTCGTTTTGATGGCAGTGTGGAAGGTGGATAGGAAAGTGGTCAGAACTGTGTTCAGGGAATCCAACCGAATGTCCACAAGGGAGAAGAGGGGTGCTTAACCAGAGAAACAGAAGGAATGACGGGACCAGGATGGCTGTGAGAGGGGTCTAGGAGATGGCAACAATAAATAAATATTTCCTGATAGTCTGGAGGTAGAGAAAGCAAGAGGGAAAGACTGCTCATGCTCAAGCTTGGCAATAGGAGGTAAAAGATGGGACAGAGGATGGTTTTACTAGTGTATATTAACGATACAAAATAACAGGGTCTATTTTGGCATTTTATACATGTATAAAATGTATTTTGATCATATCCTCCCCATTTCCCTCTCATGTCCTCCTTTCCTATTGGTAAGTTATGGAATCACCTAGGCACCCATCAACGGATGATTATATATATATATTTCTAGTTTATTTCTCCATTGCTGTGACAAAGCACACTGACCACTGTCAACTTAGGGAGGAAAGGGTTTATTTATCTTACATCTCCTGGGCCACGGTACATCAGGGAGCCCAAGGTAGGAACTCAGGGCAGGAACCTGGAAGTAGGAGCTGGAGCACAGGTCATGGAGGAAAGCTGCTTACTGGCTTGCTCCCCTGGCCCCTGCTCAGCCTGCTCTCTTATGGAACACAGGCCCTCCTGCCCAGAAGTGGCACCATCCACAGTGGGCTGGGCCCTCCCACATCACTCAACGATCTAGAAGATGCCCCACAGACATGGCCACAGGCCAGTTCAATGGAGGCAGTTCCCCAATTGAGGCTGCCTCAATCCAGGTGTGTCAAGTTGACACTAAAGCTCTGTGTGTGTGTGTGTGTGTGTGTGTGTGTGTGTGTGTGGTGTTTTATTCACCATAAAGAAAAACAAAATTATGTTATTGGCAAGAAAGTAGATGGAACTGGAGAATATAGTAAGTGAAATAAGGTAGATTCAGAAAGACAAATAGCACATTTTTTCATATATGACATCTAGATTTTCACAGAGGCAGGCAGGTGATTTGAGGTCACTGGAGGACTTTTACAGTGATGTGAAAGATCTCACCCTGTGGTCTTTCTCTCCACCCACAGGTCCCAGGAATGGGAAGAAACCCATGACCCACGGAAAAGCCAGCTGTATAAGAACAAGGACAATGGCGAGTTTTGGTACTTGCCCTCCTTTAACAGTGATGTTTCATGTATTATTGCTCGAGACCTCAACATAGCAAAAGCTGTGGCTGAGAGGTGGTTGTGTCCCCCTCTTGTTGTGAAAGTTATCTCAGAGATGAGACACTGAGCTTTCCTGGACATTTTGATGGTAAAGGAAAGCTGCTTTGGAAGTTTGAGTTTGGAAACATGATTGTCACCTCTGCCTTCCATCCTATGGAGACTTAGCAGCTCCAGTCTGCTCTGTCTTGACTCCCTGAAAGAATAGTAGAAAGTGAATCTCCCATTTTGGGTAGGATATCACTGTCACCAGCCAGGAGCCATTCAATACACCGTGTTTTAAAAACACACACCATGGGGCTGGAGAGATGGCTCAGTGGTTAAGAGCACTGGCTGCTTATGCAGAAGATCAGGGTTCAGTTTCCAGCACCCTCATGGCAACTAACAACTGTCCATAACTCCAGTTCCAGGGGATCTGACACCCTCTTCTGACCTCTGATGACTTTGCACAGCACAGGTGCATTTATATACATGCAGGCAGTACACTCACACACATAAAATAAATAAATAATAATAATAAAAACATGTACCATTCCTTAAATGCATACCTTAGAGGAGATGGACATTTCTTGGAAATGTTGTCTGTTTTACTTAGTGACATATTTGAATGAAATTTAGCATGTATGAAAGAGAACCTAGGTTTTAGCTATTAAGAATAAGATAGACAAATGTCATTTAGAAGGAAAAAAAATCTTCCCA